CGTTATTTTCCTCAGACCCCCCCCCCACATTACTGTCCTCAGCTCCCCCACTTTAATGTCCTCATCTGCCCCCAAATTACTGTCCTCAGCCAGCCCATATTACTGTCTGCAGCCCCACATTACAGCTCTTAGCCCCCCCCCCCCCCACTTTAATGTCCCTCAGCCCCCCCCCCCCACATTTCAATTCTCAGCTCCTCCACTTTAATTTTAATGTCCTCCCCTCCACACTACTGTCCTCAGTTCCCTAACATTACTGTTCTAAGCCCCCCCACATTCAGTCCTAAGTCCCCCCACATTTAGTCATCGCCTCCTTTTCACATCAGCCCCCCTTCACTCTAATGTCCTTAGCCCCTTTAACTTTGCCTCCCCCACACACACTCCTACCTTACACAGACAGTGATTGATTGCTAAGACTGCCCTTCATCCTAGCAACCAGTCATCTGCTTGTTAAACTCGGGCAGCTCACGCCCTCCATCCAGAACTGTCCTGTCTCCCGCTGTCAGCTCTGTGAGGATGACCGTAAGGTGGCTGGAGAAAGAAAAGGCTCCTAAATGGCGGGACTGCATGGGTCTGGATGGGATAGTGACTTGGTCTGCTTCCGGACCCCGGTTCACCATTTAGTGATGCCTGTCCTAGAGTGAAATTGCTGATCCTCAATAGATAAAATACAGTTTATTAAAGTTTGAGTGAGCATTGTCACCCTAGGGTGGGAAGTGAGTTGCTGGCAGATTGCCAGATAGAAATTAGAGTCAGAAAAAAGAAAAACTAATGCAGTAACAACACCTAAGGATTGATATAATGGAAATTTATTTTTTTGTTCTTGAGTTTAGACACACTTTAAAGATGAACTCCAGGCAGATATTAAAAAAAATAGCAAAAATGATGATGAAGCCAAACTTGGGACAAAACTCTCCCTTCTCTCTTCCTTCTGTAGCTAGGGCCGGTGCTATCACTAGGCAAACTAGGCAGCCACCTAGGGTGCACTTCCATCCTAGGGCGCAGCCACAGCCACTGGCTTCCCTGATCTCCACAATGGGTGGATCTAGGGGGGTGCTGGGGTGGGCTACGGCTTCCCCAGATTTCAATTGTGCTCCCCCAGGCCGGTCTTTCCATGGATGCTGTGCCTGGCTGCTGAGGGCCTTCCCCTATGCCCACACTCACGGCTGGGACAAGGGGAGAGTAGCCTGGTTCAGTGAAGCCTGCAAAAGAGGAATGACAGAAAAGAGCTGTAAGTTGCGGGCTGCTGTCCTCTCCTGTCAGTGAAGCGATCTTCCATAAAGCAGATAATTCAGGATCGCTCTTACATCAACATGTTCAGTGTTTGATTCATTCCCTAGCTCCCTACTGCTGAGAGATGAGCAGTCATTGGAAAAAAGGGGTGAGGTAATCAAACTGTATACAGCCTGATCCAAGAGTGATCTTGTGTCATCTGCTGTTTGGAGGATAGCTCCACTGACAGGAGTGAGAGCACAGCACAACCCATGAAAGGAGGGGGAGGGGAGAAGGGTAACAGTCATTTTTGCTGAGATGAGAGGTTTTTTTTGGGGGGGGGACTATATGTTCTGGGTAGGGTAATTTAGAGGGGTTTGTGCTAGGAGGAGGAATTTAAGGGGATTTATGCTAGCAAGCGGGATTGGGGGAATTTATGTTAGGAGGGGGGATTTAGGGTTGAGGATTTGTGCTGGGGTGGAAAATTTGAGGGGAAAGAGGATGTGTGCTAGGAGGGGTGAAGTAGAACTACAGGTGAAGTTTTATTTATTTATTTTTTTGGCGGGGGGGTAGCTGAGGTCGCAAAATAGTCTAGCACTGGCCTTGTCTGTAGCGCTACCCTCTTGAGGGCCGCTGACCATTTTTGGGTTCCCTGTCAGTTCCAAGCCTGCTTTAAAAGCACAGCCCCTGCTGATACCACCGTAAAACTTTCACGAGGAGGATTTCCTGGCTTTGAACCATAAAATAAACACACAATTTAAGGTGAGTAAGTATTCTGAATGTATTGAGGTCAGAATATAAAGAGTGCAAGCACAACAAGGTTGCCAGTAGATGTGCATAAAAAAAAATTAAACACTCTAAAAGGGTCAACAAAATAATAAAGCACATTATCACAATAAGCAAACCCAAATGTCCTGAAGGATCAGAATTTGAACATCAATTTCAGCTTCTGAGATATCGCTCTCCAAGTGAACTATCAAGGTGTCAGGCTAACTCACTTTTGGGCTCTCAGCAACTGTGTTTAACTCTTGACATGAGTACTTTTATTATAAGCAGTTAGTGTCCCCATTTGTATCTCTTTAAAGAATGGTGACACATCTTCTGCGTGCTTGATGGGGCCCTAGTTGGTGCACATTAAGGTTTAGATCTCCCCTTTGAGTTATGTTGAAACTGGGTAAGGTCCCTTTAACACAAAGAATGAAGGCAAGAATTGGCTAAAATTGAAGAAGGGGCAGAAGCAGACTTCAGCAGAGGTTGAACCCCTAAAGATGGTGAACTAGTCTGGTGAAGCAAGTTCCTTTGAAGCTGGAAGAGCCTTGAAATAAGATACTAGTGTAGTCCTGTCTGTAGGGGGCATGTGCTGTAGCCAAAGTCCTGCAGATTCTAGTGAGACACTAAAGCAATAGACCATAGTACAGAATGGGCAAGGCAGTCTGGGGCTTAGCGTAACAATCTGTCATGTAAGGTGCACTGAATTGAATAACTGAAATTAACACAGTCACTTGCAACTTTTGATGATCTGGGTTGTCAGGAATGGACTTGCCAATAGTGGTGGGACTCACCTGCCTTGTGGGCTGCAGTACCAGGGCTGGCCAGCGGGTGCTCTCAACAACCAGAGGTTCACTTTGGCAATTAGCCATCACCTGGGGCTGATTGCAGGTGGTGTATTTAAGGGATGGCCAGACTTTCAGTCTGTGCCTTGGTGTGTGTTTTTCCATGGGCCCCTGTATCTTGTAACCTGCATTCCTGTTCCTGTTTCTGCCTGACTTGTTGCCGACCCTGCCTGATCCTGACCTCTGCTGACTTCTCCTGTTTCATCCCTGGCTTGTGACCCTGACCATTCTCTACCTGACCCCCTGTACCTACCTGTCCGTTAGTTGCTGTACCCAGATCGTGACCTGACTACTCTCCGCCTGCTCCTCCTGTACCTACCTGCCCGATAGTTATCGACCCGGCCTGCCTGACTAAGTTGTGCTCTATATGTGTATGTACCTGTGTATCTATATCAGTTTAGGTTTGGGTTTGTTTCAACTTGTTGTATGTATTTGTGTTAGCTTGGGGTTTGGTGCACTGCGTTTATATTTGTATTGTTAGTCTTAATAAATTGTCTTATTTATACCATATCTGAAGCCTACGTTTCCCTGTGTCAGTCCACACACTTCTGGTCACACCCACATCCCTGACATGGGTAATGTAACCTTTGCAGTGTAGGAGGTAGTTCGGGGCGCCAGTGTGTTCTTTTGGTTCCTATGTTAAGAAGTGATGCTGATGACAGCACTGATCGGCCTGGTTACAGGATTAACTGTCCTGATCATCAGCAATACCAGCGGTCTGCAGTCCTACTTTCTTCTTCTTCCTTTGGATCTCCAAAGTCTCGCATGGCCTTCTCCACACACATACCCGTCCTCTGCCTCTAACCATCTGCTTCCTTCCCGTAAAGTTCCTGGGCCTTCTTTCACAAATATGGCAGTGCTACATATTTTTTGTGTAATGACAGAGTCACTTTAACCTGCAGGTATGTGTGCTAATATATCCACATTTCAGTGTCTGGGTTTATCCATACATGTGTGTTTTTTTGGAGGGGGTGGTATATTATTTTTCCTCTTAGGTGTTAATATTCAAAAATGTATTTCCTTTTTTGTATGCACTAGTAAGAAACTAGAGTATGCACCGAACTTTTAAGGAACCCATGTCAGAAAATGTAAAATTAAAATAGTGTAGAAAGGTTACCTACATTAGATAGTTAGAGAGCCAGCTGGCCCAGGCTGCACAAAGGATTAATAATTATGTGTATTTTTCCCAGGCTTTCTGGACCAAGCCTTCCCACCCTGTGGCATATACAGTATATGCAGGGGAAAGCTGGGGACGAGGGACGATGAGAACCAACGAAGATGCTGTGACGCCGTGAGATGCAGAAGGAGACTGCTGCACCCTACATTCTGAAGATACCAGATCCTGGAGCCTGTCACTTATGGACTGTGTTAGTTGTGGACTTCCACCTATTGAGGTATGCCTGGGCAGCCAAAGTGTAGTTAGTCAGGACTATGTGCACTTTATCCTGTATTGTTGCAGAAGTTCCAGTAAAGTTCTTTGAATTGCTTTAAAGCCTGGTCTGAAGTTTCTTAGAAAGGATTGCATGTGGGTTCATGGCATATAAAAGAACTTGGGTCAGTAAAAGCACGTTTGCAGAATGATGCAAGGTCACTACTGAAGGTTAACTCAGCAAGACAAGTGAGAAGAGGAATGCAGCAGTTGAAAGATTTTTCTCAACGTTTTTGGAAATGATTCCTCTACTTCAGAAGCATATTATGAACTAGTTCTACAATAAACATAAAAATCAAATTACTATCTGAATATCATGAAAGTTTTAACTTAATATCACAATCATCATATATCAGATAGACTAAACAGGAAAGATTGTGCAAAAACTGCAGTAACCTAGAACAACCATCTGCTTAATTCCAATTTGTACTGTGTTTGATTTCTAAGTCCATTTTTATCAAGGCCGTTTTTATCTGCATTACGAAATGCAGAAGAAAAATGATTCTTTTATCTGGATCTTTGGTGTAGGAATAAATGTTTTCTGTCTGAAGGTTTCTAAAGCTTTTTTATTTTATTATTTTTTTTTGTAACCTTTGATGAAAGAAACCAGTTTTGTACTGCTCCATCTAGATCCACAGGCAACCACACACTGTTTTGACAGCAAACAGCAGAGGGATGTATATATAAAAGGCTGGTGTCTGCAGTAAAATCCCAGTTGAGGTCACAGTCCAGGACATCTCCAGTAAACAATGGCCAGTCAGTCCCAGGGCATCCAGCAGCTACTGCAAGCAGAGAAGAGAGCAAAGGACAAACTGGAAGAAGCCAAAAAGAGTAAGAGGATTAGTATTATAGAGTCATTGTTAATTGGCTAAAGCAGATGACAACATGGGACTGCACTCAACTTTGCTTTGCTATAAATAATAATTTGCATATATATATATATATATATATATATATATATATATATTGTACTTTTTTAACATTTGCTATCTCCAGATCTCAGAGGGAATATGTGCCCTTATCTCATCTGTTTTTTTTTAGCTAATGTCTTTAACTTTTTGATATGCAAGTTCTATTATATTTTCTATTCACAGTTCTCTGTATGTGCATAATTAGAGCAGAATATTTAGAATTTGAATATTGTAGCAGAAGTGCAACCCTGCCGTTCTCAATATCATGCTGGGAAGTTTACTGGCTGTAGAAAAAAAATGTTAAGTGCAAAAATCAGCAGCTGTAAAAACGTCCAGTGTGCTTGAGGACCCAGGACCACAAGAAATATAACAATGTATATTGTAATATAAAGATTTAAAAACACACATACTTATGTACTTATACATTCCAGCATCATTGTCACATACCTAAAGCACAATTGTCTTAATTATTATTTCTTTTGGAATGTTAAAATGCTTTAACAATAATCCTATGAGGTGGTCATGCAAACTGTTCGGCTTCTTTCACACTGGCAGGAAGTTCAGTGCCCTCTGAAAAGCGGTCTGGGGTGGATATTGTTTTTTTTTTTTGCTGTGGCAAAAATGGCTGGCAGGTTTTCAGGAGGCACTTCTGTTGCCTCCTGACACTCTTTTTATAAATTTTTTGTTTTACTTTTTCTAATGCCAAATGGCAATTTTACTTTGCTGTACTGTGCCGCAACTAAAAGCCAAACATTTGGCTCACAGTTGCAATGTTCATGAAGACACAGAACACAAAGGGGTGGATTTACTAAAGGAGTAGAGCAAGGGAATTTTTCCTTAGCTTAGTGAATGTGGTGAAAATTCACTTTACAAAGAAAACCTAATCCTGTTAATCTGTTGGTGCCGAGTGCATATTTGCATACCCAGCAGGTGCCAAGCAGTTAAAGAAAAGTAAAACAAAATGTATTTTTGCTTTTACATGATTGGATGATAGATGTCAGCAGGGCTATACCTCATGCACTAAACTAAGGGATGTGTATAAAACCACACACCCTTACAAAAAGAGCCCCTCTGACCGTCTATTCTATCCTTCCACCATGGAAGTCAGTAATATTATATACAGTATCTGGTCATGCTATATATAACAGTGTCAGTCCCTGTGAGTATAAATCAATATTCAATATGTTGGTTGTGAATATAGGTCCATGCGCCTTATTTAGATCTTCATATAGTCCCCATTACTTGGTGCTCCTTCAAAACTTTGTGTACAGCAAACCAAATCGTCCTCTTCTATTCACAATACCTCAAAATAAATAAACTCAACATAGTGCATTATCCTTAAATGCAAGTATAATAAGTGCTTGTGAATTATAATTCGTGTCTCCATGAAAAATTCATAAATACCTTCCCTAACCAAAATTATTACTCCACACTCCTCATACACAGTGAGTATGTACCACGCCACACTCTAAATAGTGACCATACAGTGAGCATGTGCCACATCACACTATGAAACATGATCATAAAGTGCAGTCAATCCGGTGTGCCTCCTGTCAATCCATGTACCTTACCGAATCAACAGGTAGTGTGGGCTAAAAAAATCAAATACAGTGCTCCAGGACTCTGCTGTCCCTGCAAGGTCAGTTATTATTCCTGTGATGTGAACTAGGCCACGCCAAACTTAAAAAAAGTGGTCAATATCCTCCGTGGTCTAATTATAAAGCACCTGTCAAAATGAGAATACCCAGAAAGAGAATACAGTATCATCGTGCAAAACCTTCTTAAAACTATTGTAAAACTTTATTAAAAGCGCTTACATCAATGCAGAGTATATGCAGCTTTAAAATCAGCTAAATAGCTCACTATCTCCTCATAGTAGTTTGGACCTCATCCAAGATGGCTGCTGCGGTACTTACGTTTACGTCTGACATCACTTTCTGACACGTTTCGTCATCACGACTTTATCAAAGGATGCTTTGATAATTGATTTATTTAGCCCACACTACCTGTTGATTCGGTACGGTACATGGATTGACAGGAGGCACACCGGATTGACTGCACTTCATGATCACTTTTCATGGTGTGGTGTGGCACATACTCACTGTTTATGAGGAGTGTGGAGTAATAATTTTGGTTAGGGAAGGTATTTATAAATTTTTCACGGAGACACGAATTATAATTCACAGGCACTTATTATACTTGCATTTAAGGGTAATGCAATATGTTGAGTTTATTTATTTCGAGGTATTGTGAATAGAAGAGGACGATTTGGTTTGCTGTACACAAAGTTTTGAAAGAGCTCAAGTACTGGGGACTATATAAAGATCTAAATAAGGTGCATGGACCTATATTCACAACCAACATATTGAACATTGATTTATATTCAAGGGGACTGACACTGTTATATGTAGCATGACCGGATCCTGTATATAATACTAAACCAGGGGCAGACTGACCATTGGAGCACTCGGGCACTGGGTCAGTAGGGGGACCCATAAAATGCCTCTGGCACCTTTTATAGGCTTTTTTTGGGTGTGTTTTGAGTGTGGGCAAGGACACAGGGCCCCATGATCCCCAATTGCCCGGGGGCCCCATGAGTTGTCAGTCCGCCCCTGTACTAAAACAAGGGAGAATTCCCTTGCAAAGTGAAAATTCACTTTGCTAAGTGAACAGCCTATTTGCCGTTAGAAATAAACCCCTAAGAGGCACTGGCTGACATCACAAGAACTGTACATTTTAGATGCTGCTAGCTGCAGTTGGGGAAAATGGAGACAGCAGGGAGAGGATAAGGGCATCCCAGGATTAGGGTTATGGTGGGGGGATTTAAAGTAAATCCTGCCCCCTGTGTGTTTAATTGCTACTCCAATGGCATATAATAGTTTTCCATACTATAAATCGTTATACCATTGCCAATGCTCTGTAAAAAAATGAATTTGTAAATTGTTTTATGAACACATAGGGGTAAATATACTAAAGCTGAAACGTGCAAAATCTGGTGCAGATCTGCATAGAAACCAATCAGCTTCCAGGCTTTATTGTCAAAGCTTAATTAAACAAGCTGGAGTTAGAAGCTGATTGGCTACCATGTACAGCTGCACCAGATTCAGAGTGCACCAGTTTTAGTGAATCTCCCCCAGTGACCTTTCTTGGTACATCAAGGCTACTTTTGCATCTACTGTGTGCAAGGTCAGTAGAATACACTTTTGATGATAGAATTTATTAATATACAGGCCAACACACATTTTGGTGACTTGAATGTTAGACCTGTTCCTGGGTATAATTGACCAGCTGATTCTAAAATGGCACCAATTTTTCTTATCAGCTCTAGTTTTTGTGATACAGTATAAATACCATATACCATTCTTCACTCTGGTTGCCTGTAAAAAACTGGGATATTTTACTGTAGTGTTTTATTTATTCTCCTTGTAGTATGAAAGAAACACATACAAAAGTAGCCATAGCCATAAAATGAAATTTTATGAGTGCCAATATACACACACCTCCTCTACAATCCCACCTACAATACAGATAATTACTTACACTTTAGAATCCAATGTTTCCAATGCAAAATTACAGTTGGAAGTAGGTAAACACTATCACCATATCTGCTACCTTGTAAGCAAAAACACAAACTAGGTAATAGAAGAACAAGTTGATCTTTTCAAAAATGAATTATATAAATTGGACCTTTTCTACTAAACTCGAGCTGATGCAGTCTAGCCAATGCAATTTTTTTAATCAGTTCCCCAAATAATCCCAAGAACAGGGCTAAAAAGCAAGGCGCCAAGAAAAATATTTTATTGTTGAGCTGTTAAAATTAACGTAGAACTAAAGGAAAACTTTTTTTCATTTTGGATTATTCTTATTATTATACAGGATTTATATAGCGCCAACAGTTTGCTCAGTGCTTTACAATATAATGGGAGACAAAACAGCAACAATATAGTGCAATACAAGAGGGTTAGGAGGGCCCTGCTCTTTGGAGCTTACAAGCTAAGAGGGAGGGGCTGGTGGTACAAAAGGTAATAATTGTGGGAGATGGACTGGTAGGAGGAATAGAAGATTCCATTATTAGCTGACGGCGGGATCGGGTTCTCTGAAGAGATAGGTTTTTAGAAATTGCCTAAAAGTGGGCAGAGTAGGCGATAATCAGATAGTTTGGGGTAAGGAGTTCCAGAGGATGGGGGAGGCTCTGAAGAAGTCTTGGAAACGAGCATGGGAGGAAGAGACAAGAGAGCAGGAGGTTGTGTGAGGAGCGGAGAGGACAGTGTGGGTGATATTTGGAGATCAGATTGGTGATGTAATTTGGGGCAGAGTTACAAATGGCTTTATATGTTATTGTTTTTGAATTTTATTCATTGGGCAATGGGACGCCAGTGGAGCGATTGGCAGAGAGGGCAGATACGGAACGGTTAGTAAGGTGGATGAGTCTGGCAGCAGCATTCATCATAGACTGAAGAGGGGATAGCCTGTGATTAGGTAGGCCAGTGAGGAGGGAGTTACAATAGTCAAGGCGAGAGATAACCAGGGAGTGAATAAGTTGGATAGAGCGAGGGAGGGTGATAACCTCTTTCAGTTTCTTTTTTATCATCTGCATCTCATTGGGGAGGTTTCCCTTCATTACCGATTCCATAACCAAAACAAGAAGCAAGAGGAAATTCCTCCAAAGTGTTCCATGGTTGTCACCAGAACCATTGTCATCATTGAAAGATTTCCCCTCTATTCCTGTTCTTGCGACAACCCAAAATTTGAGATTTTGAGTCACTTTTTGTAATAATGACCACCAGGACAAATGGAAAGGGAGACAGGTGTTCTAATCCCTCTCATCAAAAATGAAAAATAAAGCTTGCTTTTAGTTATATGTTAAAACCACAGATATGACCCACGTCGTTTTGGAGAGTTTTCCTTGCTGATTTCAGA